TTGTGTACTGATCCACCAATCATACAAGAGAGGCCGGTAAATCACATTAGGAAAATCGAAATCAAAATCCTATAAAACAAACTCAACTAAAAAAAAAAAAATCAAACTTATAACTTTAAGTATAAGAATCATATTATATTCACTTTCTCATCGTTTTGGAACAATTTATGTTGATTTTGGTATTGGGCCTAGTTTAATGCCATGGCTATATATATATATATATATATATATATATATATATATATATATATATATATATATATATATATATATTGTGTGAGAAGTGGACAATGGCAAATTATTGTGTAGATCATGGTCTACACAGTGTTATGTGAACCATAACAAAAGAGTTAATTCCAGCAATGGTCCTCCGACTATTGCAATTTTCCAAAATTAATCCTCGTCTTTTAATTTGGACGAATTAGACCCTTGACTATCAGATTTGTTCCACTAATAGTCCTTCCGTTACAAATCAATTTGTTAGACGTTAAGTAGAGGGGTACAACAGTCATTTCCTCTTATTTCTTTCTTCCACCAACTCCATTGCTTTGTCAAGCTTGAACAAAGGACGAGAAGCCACTCAGACGGTGGCGGCGGCACACAAGAGGCACGACAGCTGGTTTCTGCCTCGGTGGAATCTTGCTGGGGTCGTTCCTCTCGCGGGTCTGATAAGAAAGAGATGAAAGAAAGAGAATATGAAGAAGGAAGAAAAGGCATACTAGAAAACAAGATCTCACCATTTTAAGTTTGCGCAGTTCTCTTTTTGCAATTTTCATCCTCCATGCACACTGTGTAGCAATTGCTGCTTTCTTCATCCTCCTATAATGAAGGTGGGCCAGGAATCCATGGCAATGAGTCTGAAATCAATGCAAATAGATTTGATAAATAGTGGCAAACCCACTCTGGCGGTGGCGGTGGCGAAGCTCAAGCGGGCTGGGCCGCTGATCTGGAGTCCGCCTTCCATCTTTTGGGTCGGTGTACCTTTCAAGTTCCAACTCCCCTCTTCCTCCTCCTTCAATGGCTTCAGAGCAGCTGGGTAGAAGCGAAGCAGCTAAAACGGAGATGGCCAGCAACCTTCTACTAAAAACAATTGACGTCAGCGCTTTCACGAAAACGGGAATCGAATTATCAGTCTCAATGCTGGTAGAATAAATGATAGAGAAATTGAAGAGACATCTATGTCCAAAGGATTGCCCTCTTCCTCTCTTCTGGGTCTGCTGCTTCTGTGGTGGAAATTGAGAGTTGAAGAGCGTATACCCATATCCGCAAACTGAGATTTGGGCAGCCCGATATATCAAACCTGCCATCAAACAACGAATTGGAGATTTGAAAAGAGAAACTCCCCTATCTCTGAGGAGTCTGAGCTCTCAGTCTTTGACGACGCTCCACTTCTATCTCACATCCTCAGCCTTGTTGGAAGGCAGCCTCCAGATCAGATGCTCAGCCCGCCTGAGCTCCGCCACAGCCAGAGTGGGTTTGCCCAGACCCGCCAAGGGTTGGTCATTAGAGCCCAGCAAGGCTCCACCGAGGCAGAAACCAGCCGTTGTGCCTCTTGTGTGCCGCCGCCGTCTGATTGTCTTCTCATCCTTTGTTCAAGCAATGGAGTTGGTGGAAGAAAGAAATAAGAGGAAATGACTATTGTACCCCTCTACTTAACGTCTAATAAACTGATATGTAACGGAAGGACCATTGGTGGAACAAATCTGATAGTCAAGGGTCTAATTCGTCCAAATTAAAAGACGAGGACTAATCTTGGAAAATCGCAATAGTCGAAGGACCATTGCTGGAATTAACTCCATAACAAAAAATACATTTTAAATATATTAAATGTACATTATTTTTGTACTGAATGTACATTATATAATATAATGTAATGTACATTCAGTATAAAAATAATGTACATCCCCTGAAAACAATGTACATTATTTTTGTTCTGAATGTACATTATTGTTATACTGAATATATATTATTTTACAGTATACAAAATATGGTCCATACAACTTGTGATTGGTTTAGAATGGTGTGGATTAATAGAACAACATTAATTGGACCTACCAAATTTAATTTTAATACGGGGTATAAATACTCCGGTTTCTCTCTTTACGTAACGTTCCGCCGTTGATTTTCACAATGCTATGCAGTTATTGCTTCCTTCACACACACACACACACTCTCACTGTACTCACACTCACAATGCTATGCAATTATTGCTTACACACACATATAGGATCATGTGGAGTAATAAGTTACATGTGAAATATGGGGTTTAATCTCAACCCTTGATCTAGCTAAGATCAACAATCCAGATTGAAAGAAATTTAAAAAACGTGGTGACATTATGGTATTTTTATATACGTTTAAAATTTAAAGTGCATAATTTTATAGCTCAATTAAGGTGCTATGTTTAATATTTAAGGTGCGTCACTTTCTAACTTAAAGTACATTAGTTTAAAACTTAAGGTGCTTAAGTTTTAAGGTTAAGGTGTATTGTTTTATAGTTTAAGGTGCATTGTTTTATAGCTTAAGATGCGCCACTTTCTAGCCTAAGGTGCATCACTTTAAAACTTAAGGTGCGTTGTTTTATAACTTAAGGTGCATTTGTTTAAAACTTAAGGTGCGTCACTTTTCTAGTTTAAGGTACATCACTTTAAAACTTAAGGTACATTGTTTTATAGCTTAAGGTGCGTAGTTTTATAGCATAAGGTGCGTATGTTTAAAGCTTAAGGTGCGTCACTTTTTCTAGTTTAAGGTACATCAGTTTAAACTTAGGTGTGTTGTTTTATAGCTTAAGGTGCATTGTTTTATAACTTAAAGGTTTTATATCCTAAGGTGCATCATTTTGAGACAGTTGATTATTTGCATGCATGTAGGCAGAAAATACGTTTTTTAAAAAAAAACTAATTTTTATTGATTTGAGTCGTTGATCTAGATTAGATCAACGGCTCAGATCTCACCCCATCTTTTGGAGAGTCTTTGCACGGGAACTGATATATATATATATATATATATATATATATATATATATATATATATATATATATATAATTACATTCATGTAAAATCAGGGCTTAAAATACAAACGTGTGGACATTTCTGGATCGTTGGATGTTGGGTATCTAAGTTTGTGATTAGTTTTTATGATTTTGTGTGTTGCCCGCCTGTGTGCACTGTTATTCATGGACGTGTGCACGCCGGCCCAAATACTGTGGATTCACACATGCAGACAACATTGAATGTGTGCATTGTCGTCCACGGATATGTGCATACCCGCATATAGGTGTGTGCACGGTATATGTCCACATATTTGTATTTTAAGGGTGTTTGCATGTGAATGCAACCCTATATATATATATATATATATATATATATATATATATATATATATATATATATATATATATATATATATATATGCGCACAAATACTATCATAACTCTCCAAACAACCTAAAAATTTCTAATTGCCTTGTAGAATATTTTATTTTAACTAAACCTTAAACACTAATTAAATAATTAATAGTACATTGGAAAATTTAAATTAATGATTATGATGATTACAAAGCTACAAAAATATTATCATTTTTTCACAGGTTGACCAAAAAACAACTACACTAATTTTTTTCGCTGTACGTTGGTCGCCGGTCACCGTCACTCACTCCCAATTTTTGTTGTTATTTCTTGATGAAACTCCGATCACTTGGGAAAGGAAAGTAGATTAAGAGGTTGGAAGTGGATTTTAGAAAAACACTATTGTTGAAGGTAAAAAAAAAATATGAAGAAAGAATTTATGAAGAATCATGAGGAGAAGATTTTTTTTTTTTTTTTTTGGTATGATCATTTATGAAGAATGAAGAGAGAATAAATAGTGGATAGAGAAGTAGTTGGGAGTTGTGGCAATTAATTAATACTTTAATAGTGTTCGGGTTTTGGGTAAAGGAAAAAGAGGAGTGAATGCATGTATTTATTGGGTAGGCAGAGGAGTGAATAATGTTGTGTAGAATTTGGGTAGGAAAAGTCTTGGCATATGATGTGTGCATATATACCTACGCACCATTATTCTCAAGGTAAACCAATTCAACATTGAGAGTGTTGTATCTTTTCCCTTTTTTAAAGTACAAAAAACAAAAAGTTTTCTCATAATGTGGACATCTCCACATCGAATTGATCACTTTTTGGTCATCATCTTCTTCACCTTTGTAGTTATGGAGCTGTGCATTTCTGGCAAAATCTACAGTGTTGGGGTTTGCAAGGAGGAGGAGAAGCAAGCGTTGTTGTGCTTCAAGAATGAGTCAAAAATTCCAACGAATTGGGATAATACAACAGATTGTTGTAGTGAATGGGCGGGTGTTGTGTGCGATAATGTAACTGGGCATGTGATTGAACTCAGTCCAATACCTAATCACACAGTTGATTATTCTTCTCAAGGAGGTAAACTTAGTTCGTGTTTGCTTGAATTAAAACAGTTACGTCACCTTGATCTTAGTAAACTCTTTTATTATTTTGAATTGTCTCACATCCCTAGTTTCGTTGGATCTTTTGCGAACTTGCAATATCTTGATCTATCCTTCTCTGGTTTTCATGGAATCATTCCCCGGCAACTTGGAAATCTTTCAAGTTTGCACACTTTACGTCTGGAAAACTCTGGGTATGTTGATACTCTTGATTGGTTATCAAATCTTTCAAATCTAGAGTATTTGGACTTGAGTCTTGTAAATCTCAGCATGGCTCATAATTGGCAAGAGGTAATTGGCACACTTCCTTCCCTACGTGAGCTTTATTTGGGTGATTGTAATCTTCTAATTAGATTTCCTCATCCATTACATCTTAACATCAGCTCTTCACTTCAAGTACTTGATCTTTCCGAGAATAGAGACGTCAATTCTGTTATTCCTAGATGAATATTCAATCTAAATAACCTTGTTTCTCTTGATTTATCAAACAGTGGTTTTCTAGGTCCATTTCCTAATGATCGTTGGAACTTGACATCTCTTAGGAGTCTTGACATTGGTTTTAGTGAAATGAATGGCTCAATACCAAGTCAATTGTTTGGTCTTAGTAACTTGAAATCTTTGAACCTATGTAGTAATCGATTTCAAGGTCCTCTACCAAATGGCCGTTGGAACATGACTTCTCTTGAATTCTTAGATGTTTCTCAAAACTCCTTGAATTCTCACATACCATATTCAGTTTACCATTGCACAAATCTAAAATTTCTTGATATGCATTCTAACAAATTTCAAGGAATCATTTCCAAATCCATTTCCAACTTGACTTCTCTGTCTTACCTTGACATATCTTACAATATGTTTACGGGAGAGATACCAAAGGAAATTGGGAAACTCAAAAAGTTAACCGGTATTCATTTTTCACAAAACATGTTCTATGGCCATCTTCCTGAGAGTATAGGGTTTTTATCTTCATTGAAAGAATTGGGTTTTCTTAATAACATGTTGGAAGGAATAGTGACGGAAAGTCACTTTGTCAATCTCACAAAATTAAAATTTTTAGTTGCATATGGAAATAGATTAACCTTGAATGTCAGTCCAAATTGGATACCTCCCTTCCAACTTGATGAGCTTGAATTAACTGGTTGGAATTTAGGTCCTGGATTTCCTGCTTGTCTACAATCTCAAAATCACATTTCTCTTCTGGCAATACCTAATGCTCAAATAGAGGATGAGATTCCAACTTGGTTTTGGAATTTTTCTTCCAGTTTGGAAACAATTGATGTTTCACACAACCAATTGCGAGGTGATGTTCGAAATACCTTATTTCGATTACCTAAAGATAACGCACAATTACGTGTGTACTTGGGCTCTAACCAGTTTAGTGGACCCTTACCTCGTCTCCCTGTCAACATGGTTGAGTTAGACCTATCAAATAATTTCTTCTCTAGAGATGTCTCTTCCTTTTTATGCCATGCACAAAATGTATCATATGAACTTCAAATACTCCTTTTGGGAGGAAATGAGTTATCTGGAGAAATTCCTGATTGTTGGATGCATTGGCCAAATTTAGAAGTCATAAATGTGAAGGAAAACCAACTGATTGGAAGCATGCCAAATTCCACTAGGCTTTTGAACATGTTGAGATCTTTGGACGCACATAAGAACATGTTTTCTGGAGATTTTCCTCCATCATTGCAGAAGTGTACCATTTTGTTGAAACTTGATTTGAGTGAAAATGTATTCACCGGGAAGATCCCAACATGGCTAGGGACTAGTTTATCATATTTGGCAATCCTTAGGCTCCGATCAAACCATTTTTTTGGTGAATTGCCTCCAAATATTTGTCATCTCTCATTTCTTCACTTGCTTGACCTTGCTGATAATAACTTCTTTGGTGGTATACCTATGTGCTTTCGTAATCTCAGTTCAATGATCAACAATATTGACTACAACGAGAATGAAAAGATGCCTTCTTCAATTGTTTTTGAGATTTATCATGAAAGTGCTTTAGTGACAACAAAAGGACAATAGTACAACTATGATATCACCACTCTAGTGTTGTTTGCTTGCTTGGATCTTTCAAGTAATAATTTTTCAGGAGAAATTCCAACTGAATTGACCAATCTTGTGAGATTGAGGTCGTTGAATTTATCAAGAAACAACTTGAGAGGAAATATCCCTAAGGAAATGGGAAACATGAAGCTGTTGGAATCGCTTGATCTTTCTAAAAATAAGCTTTCAGGTGAAATTCCTTCGAGTTTCTCAAGCTTTTCAACTTTAGGTGTTTTGGACTTGGCTTATAACAACCTATCTGGAAAGATACCTTCGGGGACTCAGCTTCAAGGCTTTAATGCTTCGTGTTACATTGGCAACAACCTTTGCGGACTTCCACTCCCAAAGAATTGTAGTGTTGATGGTGGTCAAATTTCTAAGCATGAAAATAAAGGAGATGATGATTCTGAAGTGGACTGGTTTTATGTTAGCATGGCTATAGGATTTGCAGTGGGCTTTTGGGTGACCTGTGGATCTTTACTTCTTGTGAAGTCTTGGAGGATTGCATATTTTCAGTTTTTAGATAATAAGTTTAACTCCATTTTGGTATGGGCGCGTGTTTCATATGTTTAATGTTCTAGTATTGTCTCATGTTTAATACGGAGTATTTTGATTAAAAAAAAAAAAGTTTCTTTGTATTAGTATAATATGTGAATGTAATGCATTATATTCACTTGGGATGTAATGGATATTTAAGCTATAATTGTGGAGTTATTTTGAAAAATTTTGTGTTTCTATAATATTTTTTTTTGCACAAGCATGCTAACCATATAATACGTACTGGAGTATGTATTTTTTTTTTAACAAAGAAACTATACTTCATTATCAGAAATCAATGAACTTACAATTAAAAAAAAAAAAACAAAAAACGAACTTACAATAAACAAATGAGGAATATTAAACCAAACTTCGCGATCAGACGAGGAACCAATTAAATTCCCTGACTAACAAGTGGGCTACCTGGTTCGCTGAGTGCTTAACAAAACAGAACTGCACATTATCAATAGAAGCTGTAATAACTCTAATATCATCTACTATAAAGTCGAAATAGGAATCCCCCGCGTCTCCTCGTTACGCATCGTGAACCACCTTCAATAACATGATAAATACTATGGAATTTAGTTGTAAAATAGTAAAATTTTGATGTTATCACAATAAGCTAATTTCACGTACTCTCCATGTTAAGGCTCTTGTACTCCTAGTTCTAGTACATCTTTTCCTCTTGTATATATATCTTTTCCTCTTGTATATATTTCTATGTTCTGAACTGTGTAATCAATCAATTAGGCCTCGTTTTGTTCGCGGAAAATATTTGAGGGGAAATGAAATTGAAATTCCATGGAAAAGAAATTACCATGAAGATTAATTACATTGTTTAGTTGGTGGAAAATAAATTACTGGAAATATCGATTCCATTGTTTGGTTGAGTTTGGAATTGTAAGGAATAGTGAGTATAAAGACAATTATACCCCTACATAATAATATCAACAATAATAATTATGGTAATTAAGGAAAGTTGGTGAGGGCATAATTTTTCTACTTTTTTTCCATGAAAAACAAAATACCAAGGGGACCATGGAAAATGTTTTCCTCATTTTTGAGGAAAATGTTTTCCATGAACCAAACAAAGGAAAATCCAGTTTTCTTCAAATTCAAGGAAAACATTTTCCATGAACCGAACATGCCCTTACTGAAATCCTAATCTGGAATCAACAACCTAATTGGTTTAGGACGTTACTAAAATAGATTGAAAAATATGGTTACTAAAAATCAGAGGTTACCTAAAGTTCTAAACCAATTAAACATGTTCAAATAGAAAAAATAACAAAATAAAAATATAAAAAAGACAGAAATACCCTTACTAAAAATAGAAAAAGTCATTAGTTAGAAGAATTAAAAGTGTCCAAAAAATAGCCTATGATGTTAAATGACAAAAACAATAATCTAGGACTAAATTTGAAATTGTCACCAAAGTTAAGGGACCTCTTGTGGAATTAATTCTTAAAGAAAGTGTAATACTTTTGAAGAAAAAATATAATAATGTAAAAGTATTACTTTTCTCATCAAAAGTATTACAATTTTCCTTATAAGTAATGTAGGCAAGTATTTGTTACTTATAGAGAAAATGTAATATTTATAAGATAAAATATACGGAGTAAAACTTAAATTAAAATATAAAAATATTATATTTTCGTTTAAAAATATTATATTTTCGTTTAAAAATATTACATTTTCACAGTAATTAACATTTTATTTTTGATCAATATTTTTTTTAAATGCTACTTGCTCTATTACAATGTAGTATGTGTTCGTAACTACTTTCTCAACCTATTTTTGATCAATATTATTTTGAAGTATTAAATTTTCCTCTTGACCCAACCGGTCACAGGGTCGGACAAGTTTTTGGATCGTTATGCCATGGAACCGTGTTCACCATCCATGGTGAACACGGTCCCAACGGTAACAGTACACCGTTATTTTTTTTTTTTTAATTAATCGCGTGACTTTTCTTCTTCACTTTCACATTTTGCAATTTCACTTCCTCTTCGCGCAAACTTCTTCAACATAATCTCATAAAAAGAAAATTCATAATTTCATAACTGCACATTCATAATTGCATGGATTTATGAATGTGCAGTTATGAAATTATGAATTTTCTGTTATGAGATTATGAATTTACAGAAAATTCATAATTACATAGCTGTAAATTCATAATCTCATTACAGAAAATTCATAATTTAATAAATATTTTTCTTTTATGCGATTATAAATTTTCTGTTATGAGATTATGAATTTACAGTACATTCATAATCTCATAATATAAAATTTATAATCTGACCAAATGCGCCGTTAACACCAGATTAGCGAATTTTTTTTTTTTCACGTAAAAACTAGACCGTTTGAACCCGTTTCACCATTCACGTTTCCCGGGCATAATTTGCCCAAGTTTTTGCCAAAAGACTTATTCTAGAATGGACTGACGAATATTCTAGAAATTTGTTCTCCATTCGATTTCATTTCAATAGAGAATTCATCAAAGAAAAGGACAACAGCTGACCCCATATTCATAATGCAATACTACTACCATAACTCTTATCCGGACACTGTTCTACAACACTTCTTCTCTTCCTCTCTGCAACGAATCCGATCGCCATCTGCTAATGGGAGCGCAAAGGGAAACCATAATTCTCTTCCCTTTCATGGCGCAAGCCCATATAACACCCTTCTTAGCCTTATCTTTCACAATTGCAGAAAAGGGTTCTTACAATATAATCTTAGTTAACACCCCTTTGAACATCAAGAAACTCCGATCATCTCTCCCGCCGAAATACTCCTCCATTCGCCTTCTCGAAGTACCCTTCGATGGGGCCCAGCACGGCCTCCCGCCGGACGCCGAGACCGCCGACGTTCTCCCCTACGACGTCGGGCTACGCCTCCTCGAACTCTCCCCTTCCCTCGAGCCCGCCTTCAGAAAATTAATATCCGATGTGATTCAGGGGGGGCTCCGGCCGCTCTGCGTCGTCGCCGACTTCTTTTTCGGGTGGACGGCCGCCGTGGTGCGCGAGTTCGGAATCTTCCACGCTATTTTCAGCGGCGGCGCCGGCGGGTTTGGTTTGGCTTGTTTCTACTCCATGTGGCTTAGTCTTCCTCACAGAGATTCCGATAAGGTGGAGTTCACGCTTCCCGATTTCCCCGAAGCCGGAGTTTTTCACGTCACTCAGTTATCTCCGAGCTTAGCCGTGGCAAACGGCGCCGACCGTTTCTCCGTTTTCCAGCGGAAAAATCTTCCGACATGGGCGGATTCAAATGGGTTCTTGTTTAACACCGTAGCAGAGCTGGAAAATAACGGGTTAGTGTATTTCCGGCGAAAATTAAACATCCCGGTTTGGGCGATCGGACCAATATTACTATCGGAAGTCAGGGCCGGCAAAGAATTTGGGATTTCCCCGGAAGAATGCAAAAAATGGCTTGACAAAAAGCCGGAAAGCTCTGTACTTTACATATCTTTTGGTTCCCAGAGCACAATCTCCGCAACCCAAATGATGCAACTGGCAAAAGCCTTAGATTCCACCGACAGAAACTTCATATGGGTAATCCGGCCGCCGCTGGGATTCGATCCCGCCGCCGAGTTTATCCCCGAGGAATGGCTGCCGGAGGGGTTCATCGGACGCGTTAACGCCGGCGAAAGAGGGCTAATAGTTCTAAACTGGGCGCCTCAGGTGGAGATCCTCGCACATTCCTCCATTGGCGCATTTTTAAGCCATTGCGGATGGAATTCCGTCCTGGAATCGCTCTGCAACGGGGTGGCGCTGATAGGTTGGCCGATGGCGGCGGAGCAGTTTTTCAATGCGAAATTCTTGGGAGAAGAAGTTGGGGTTTGTGTGGAGGTGGCCAGAGGGACTAATTTTGAGGTGAGATGGGGTGATATAGTGGAGAAGATAGAGTTGGTTATGGGGGAGAATGAGAAAGGGAAAGAAATCAGAAGAAAAGCTATGGAGGTTAAAGAGATTATTAGGAATGCTGGTAGAGATGAAGAAGGTTACAAAGGGAGTTCTGTCATAGCCATGGAGGAGTTCCTGAAAGCTGCTGAGATGATGAAGGAAAGAGCAGAGATTGGAAGATAATAATACATTTGTTGTAAAATTAATTCTTTTGTAAGTATATTTAAGATAAGATTAAGAAAAAGGTACAGAATTGTATATAAAAATATTATCTGTACTTTCACTTTATATTCTCAACTTTTATATTTTTTTTTTTTTTGAAAATTACTGGTTCTATTACATTGTAGTATCTGTTCATATACTTTCTCAACCTACTGAAACTTTTAAATTTTATATTCTCAACTTTTACATTTTATATTCTCAATTTTTATTCGGAATCACATGGAAAGAAATAGCTTATCAAAAGAATAATTTGGGAGTACATGTAATAGAATTCTTGTAAGGTGGACACGATACTGTTCATAATTATGGTAGATACGAAACTGTTCATAATTATGGTGGACACGATTCTAAAACTGTTCATAATTATGAACATATAGTTCAGTAATTATGAACATGGAACCGTGTCCACCTTGCAAGGTGGACACGGTTCCATAGCATAACTGGCATGTGTTCACTTTCACAAAAAAAAGTTGTGGCCCTCATGAACAACTCAATTAGTTCCTAGTTGCGGTTAAAGATATAGGACCGACATATGATAAACTCTCGGAGTCTTGGCTGACCATAATTTGGTTATAGTTCTGAACTGGCAGTTTTCGAGTTCAAAAAATGGCAAATTGAAATTTCGGAATAGATGGTTCTAATTGAGTTTAAACTTTAATCAAATAGTAGTTAAATTTTAATTTTTTTAATGGGTTGGAACTGGAACCGTCCAGTTCCGAACTAAATCCGGAACGGTTTGTGTTCCGGTTCTAAACCGCTAGCTCCTGGTGAGTTTTTGTAGACATCAAACACTGATTCTCCTAACTATTGAGCTTTTTAAGTCACCGTGAGAGATAATGTTCTGATAAACATAAATAATAATGTGGAAAAAGCCATTGCACAATCCAAAAGCCATCATTTATTCAACAATCATCCACAAAAAAAACATCAGATTAAACTACTACAGGTTAGATTACCTACCAATTCAACCACCAATCTAGCAATGTTGTGTCTAATGTGCAAGAGTGTCACATTCTTCATCACAAAGTGTAAATAATAACTCTAAAAGTACAATTTTTAATATAGTTCAGGCTGCAGATTTGTACCTACAAATGACCTTACACCTAAGTACTCTATCCTGCACATAAAACCCGGGCATGACCATGACCTTTACCTGGCTCGGACCTTGCGATCTTTGCCTATCCGCGAAAATATCCTCCATGAAATGAGAATCGAAAGGTCTATTCTCTTCGATCCTCAGGATTACCAAAGGCGGATAGAACGAAAACGCTAGCAAATGCAGCAGCCAGATGCATTTAGCCGAGACGAAGAACGCTTGGAGAAGCTGCTCGGGCCATGGCCTATTCCAATTAAGAGTCGTGATTATGTAACTCATTTTCTGGTCACAGAACTTGCTGAACTCTTCGCTGTAATACTTAGTCCCCTTTCGTAACACTTCGTTCCAGCTTAGGTTCCTCAAGGCAACGAAAGACGAGAATTGTGCTTGGCGGTCTTGTTCGGGGTCCAAGTGCTTTGGCGAGCCGTTCTTCTGGAAAACGCAATTCTCAAAGTCCTGATAGAGTGACTGGTTTATGATGGCTTCCAAATGGTATAACACTGCCTTTGAGTATTTCGAATTGAGGGTTAGTTTATACGGTTGGAGCAGAAGGTTGAGGTTGTCGGTTAAAGAAGTGTCGGTTTCTTCGACCTGCCTTATAAGAGTTTTGCAGAATTGCTTCACTGATAGTCTCGCCTCGGATACAATCTGCAAGAACCCCTCCAACATTACGTCTTCACTAACGGGCATCGAGTTTTCCCCTTCCCCGTCTCCAACTTTCCCCCTTTTCGGAAGATTTTTAAGCTTCATCGGGACCTGAGAGTCCTTCGCTTGAATTGCTAGCCTTAAAGCCTTCTTCAGTTCCTCACAGTAGCTCTCCAAGTACTCCAATTTTTGCCTTAGCTCCCCTATAGAAGACTTCATTTCTGCAACTTCCATTAACGCTCCATCTCTACTCTCGTTCGCTTCCATAAGCTCTTTCTTCAACGCTTCAATATTATAGACTTGAGAAACATCCTCGGATTCTGTCCTGATTGGCGAGCATTCGTTCTTGTTTTTCTTTTTCAGTTTAGGAAACAACCAAGAAAAGTTCAACCCTTTGGTCTTAGGTTGCGATTGAACAGAAGAGTGTAAATCCGAGAGTGGCACAACGAGGTTAGAGCTCTTCCCGATCTTGCTAGCTGCATCGCTCTCAGTGCTAATAATCGCGGGCTTGCACTTGTTACAAGACGATAGTGATTTAAAGTCCCCCATACTGTTTCTTCTCGACCTGCTAAATTCAGGTCCCGGGGAGGCTCTAAGGACTGTGATCTGGTCAGTACAGGAACCCGTTACAGATTTCTGGTCCTCGGCTGGACAAACGTGTGGCGATTCTATGTTGCCATATGTTGCAGCAGCCACTGCCTTTCTTAGAGACGCATTTGTCTTTCGATAATCCATTAAAACCGATTCGGTTCCACTTCCACTTCCCCCTCCTCCAAGGTTATAGTCATCCCAAAGTTCAGAATAGTTTTGATTTTCTAGCTGCAGTTGCTTGTACCCTGGCAATGGCTCATCTTCATAACTCTGTCAAAGTCCCACATTGTGGATCGTGAACAAACATTGTCATGTCACAATAATACTACGACCAAACGGGATGTTTCGAAAAAATGACTAAAAGTGGATTGACACTTATTAATCTACTACTATAAAATCAACAAAAGAAAAAAATTAACACTTAGAACTGAATAGACTAAACGATTTTGTTGACGGATGACCAAAAATGATCATGTCACAATAATACTAAGACTGATCATGTCACAATAATACTAAGACTAAACAGGGCTGTATTGAAAAAAACAATAAAAAGTGACTAAAAGTAAACTGACACCTATAAATTTAGGACCAAAAATGAATTAACTCATTTCTTAATGTTTTGGCCTTTTTCTAAAGAAAACTTATAAAGCTGGGCACTTAAAATATTCAGAACCGGACTTCATGTTTAAGCTTCATTATTTTAAGGAAGAACTCAACCAATAGCAAAGAGTTTGAATGCAATTATTCCAGCAATCATAATGGCACATTAATTGCTTGTATTCTTTTATAGATTCAAGTCCTAATATTAGTATATTCACTTTTCTTATTTGATTACCAAACAAATTCTTTTTGGATGAGCTCGGTTAATTAATTGAATATAAAAAATTTAATTTTTTTTATGGTGTTTATAATATTCAATATAATCATGTATCCTATATGTAGTTGTAATGAGTACTATTATCATTGGTGTTAATATTATTGAGTACTATAAATATAATAGAAAATCTCAAAACTCCATAAAACGGACCTAATTGTATTTACTTAGGCACGGGTGCTAATATTATCTTACACAATTAAGGATAATATACTATCAAGTACAATCAATATTATAGAAAATCCCAGAAAAAAAAAATTATATTGGTCATATGTCATAGAAAATCCAAAAAAAAAAAAAAAAAAAAAAAAAAAAAAAAACAAAACCCATATGATTATTTTGGGTATATCTTGTACAATTAAGTATAATATTGTCAGGTACTATCGAAATCATAGAAAATTCTTATATATATACTGCCCTATCATGAGATAAATATTAAGAAAAACATCTCTCTCTCTCTCTTTTTAATATCAAGAACAGTAAAAACTATATCTACAAGGGATCACCTAAGTATTTAAAAATAAAAATAAAAACAGTAAAAACAAATTGAAATTGTACCAAATCCACTACTTTAGGTACATTGAAACTAAAAAAGTTAGGCTTTTTTAGCACATAGCCACTGAGCCACATGATGAGCGTACTATATCTACATGGATTATTGTGTGTGTGTGTGTATATATATATATATGATAAAGAGAAAGCTAATAAAAAGCAAATGCCTATTAATAACCAAACAAAAGTAAGCACTTGAAAAGATGCATTATTGCTTCATTCATTGAATTGAACTTAATAATAATTTCCCTAATAAATAATAATGGAGATTTATATTTATACTACGGAGTAATAATGAAAGAATAAAATATTTAAATAAAATAATTGCTATCTGTACAAATTTTCTTTCTTGTGTGCTCGTTAATTAATTCGTAATAAAATTAACCAATTTATAGATAACTAATAAATATAAATAATTATGTCGTATAACCAATTTATAAATAATCAATAAATATAAATAATCATGTCGTATGTCATTTCATATAATAACAATTATTTGGTACAGTTAACTTTTCTTTTTCAACCAAATAAAGCCAATTATAATTAACAAGTAAGGCACTTATTAAAGAATTGACAGCACTATATTATCGCTACATTTGTAAATTACTGAACTGTCCCTTAACTACAGGGATTTCACTATTTTGTTTTTTGACTTTCAATTTCATCTCTCGTTTATCAATTTTATACCTATTGTACTCTTTTTTAAGGTACTATTTCATTCAAAATTTTACCTATTTTAGTATCTTAAAGACTAAAATAAATAAGTATTATAAAAAAAAAAGGACTAAAATAAGTATAAATTTGATAATTAATGATATTATTGAATGAAGTTAAAAATCAAGAATTAAAATGGTAAAATTATGAATAGTTGGGGACCATTTTAGTAATTGCAAAATTAATTGCAACTTTATCTTATTTTATGCAAAAAATCTTGGTTTGTAAAGAGAGTAAAAAAAAATTAAATTAAATAAAGCAGGAAAAGAAAAAAGTAAAAAGAAGAGAAAAAAATAAGGGGATTTCTTACTGGTGTGAAAACAGGGTAATCTTGGGCAGAGAGCTGGGGATGAAGATGGTGAGAAACAGGGGAAGCAGAAGAGAATCTGAGATTTCCAGGGCTGTTACCCTGCACCAGAGCGGCGTGAAGAGCCCTGAGCTCCACCGCTTTAGAAATGGCGGCTTGAATCTCTTGCCGTCTGAATTCATTGGTTCCTCCGTCTCCCTCGCCGTCTTCTTCAAAGATTTGGGTTGCAGAAGCCATGGAAAACAGAGCAATTATGATAA